CTCCGCCTCCCCCGGCCCCACCATGACGCGCGGCCCCGCCCGGCTGACGAACGGCCGCGCGCGCCCCGCCAGCTCCGCCGCCAGCATCGCGCCGCCTGCGCTCCCCATCTGACGTCACCTCCGCGCGCCGCCAATGGGCGGCCCGACCCCGGCACCACCCCTCTCCCCGCCGCCATCTTGCTTACGGGCAGCGCCGCCATCTTGCTGGCGGGCAGCGGGGCGGGCCCGGGGCGGAGCGGCGGCCGCCGCTGTGGTAAATCCCCTCGGGGCGGGACCGGCCCTCAGGCTGGGGAGGGATGGTGGGGGGCTGCTCGCCACGATGGTGGTGGAGGAGGAGGGAGCAGCTGGGGGAAGGCTGGGAGGGGTCCCTGAGGAGGGTCTTTGGCCTGGCCAGTGCCTGGTCTCTGAGGGGAGCGGGGTGGGGTGCAGGGGCTGCAGGTGCCCTGGGCTGTGCTCCATGGTCTGTGTGTTCATGCCTGTTTGATTTCCACTCACACCGTCCTTAGGTGTGTCCTGAGGACTGCTGGGCCCTGCGTTAGAGAGCAGTGAGTGAAGTGGGCCGTAGGCCCCCCTGGGTCCTGGCCCTGGCTCCCAGCTGTGCCTGCTTGGATCATTTCAGCAGGAGGGAGAGGTACCAGGAGCTGGGATTTACCAGTGGTTTGGCTCCCTCCACTCGTGGCCTGTCCTGGGGGCATGGCTTGGAAGGGCTGCTTTCTTCTAGACCTGGCTGTGTCTCCTGGCTGGTGGAGCTCAGAGCTTTTGGCTAATGATGCTGAAATCCTTGTGGCTGGGGTGGACTGGACACGTGCTGTGCGTGTTTCCCATTGGCACAGAGAGCTCCAGACAAAGCCCGGGGGTGGCAGCCAGCCCCCAGCCGCTCTCGTTTAACCAGGAAGCCAATGCTGCCTCACTGCAAACCGCTTCCTTTGCCTGGGGGAGCTGGCCTGTGCTCTAGCAGATTACCAGCAGGTGCTGGAGCTGAGCCCGGGGCACTGTGTGGTGCAGAGAACAGTTGCAGCAGCACTGCAGGGATGGCAGGACCTGGTGGTGAGGTGAGTGGATGGGCTAGTGTGGTCTGCCCAAGGGCTGGTGGCAAGCCAGGCTGCTGAGTGTGCTCTCCTGTCCCCTCACAGGCAGTACCAGCAGGTGGAAGCTCCCTTCTCTGAAGCCATTGGGCATGACCCCCAGAAACTGCTGTGCTGCCTGTGCTGGAGGAGGGTGGAGAGTGCAAGGAAAGCTGCTGCCCTGTGTCCATGACTTGACCCAATGCATGGTGAGGTATAGCCCAGCACTGCTCCCCAGTGCCTTCCTCGGGCCGTGGGTGATGTTCTTGGTGTGTTGCCTCGACTGTAGTCTCTGTGCCTAACCCTCACGCGGTTTGGGGTAAGCCTGGTATTGCTGTTCTGTTTGGCTGCAGCAGTGGAAACTCCATGGCTCAGTGCTTACTGTGGGTAAAAGTTTTTTCCATGGAGGAGATCCAGGTCTCACCTTGCTGCCAGAGAGACCCACTGGCCTTCCCGGACCTACACTGGCTCTTCTGCTGAGGAAGTCTGGCCCAGCTACTGCCCTTTCGCCTCCTCCCCAGGGAAAGGCTGCTGTCTTATTACCAGTTACCTAATTGGAGAGCATCAACTCCACGCTGCCAAATCCCCAGAGTCCCATCGCATCAGGCAGCTGTTCTCATGCAACTGCAAATCTTCCACGTCCTTCCCCACTAGCCGCAGTCAGAAATCCAAGTAAATGACTGTTCCCCAACCATTTATTTCATAAAAGATTTATTTTAAAATTAGAAATGCGTAACATTTTTGGAATAAGCAGGATATTTGAGTCTGTTTGTGGGCCAGTTCCTGGGCAGCATTTGGGTGGTGTTTAAAATCGCTGTCCCCAGGGCTCTGGCCCTAGAGCTGGAATGGTCCCAAGTGCTGGCAGCTTCTCTCAGCACAGGGCCCGAGCAGAGCACTGGGGGCTTTGGGAAATGTCCCTGCACCCATCCCTTGGGCGGTTCGTTCCTAGAGAGTGAATGATTCTGGTTCACCTGACCTTTCTCCCAAAGGAGACTAAAACCTGGGTAAAGGTTGGCACAGCTTGGCAGTGTGCAGCACTGATTTTCTCACAGGTTGTCCCCAGGTCCCCTGTTGTGACACTCCCCAGAAGCTAAAGCCAGCAGAAGGATGTACAAGAGACTCAACAGCTCATAGCACCAACTATCAGCCTGCTGTAGAAATCATCCGTGAATAAAAGGAATTTCCAAAACCGTTAGTGGCACCATTGGCTCCCCTGGAGGTAGGACTGAGGTTTTTTTGTAGCTGGTAAAACAAGTGAGAAGTCTTTTTCTTGTTGTTTTCCTGGTTTGCTGCAGGGAAATCCTTTGGACCTCAGGGGAAAGATCGACAAAGAGATGGAAGGAAGAACCTGGCTCTTGGCAGATCAGATATTGCCATCTCCCACATTCATTGATGGTGAAGCTGGTCCCTACCAGCACCTATTCACAGTGAAAGGAAGCTGGAAAAAAACTGGCTCTAAAACTTCCTTGTAAAGCACTTTGCGACGTTGAAGGTGTTGACAGGCCAGTGCTGCAGGAGTCAGCACCAGCATTGTCACGTTGTACCAAGGAGCTGAGGCACAGCCACACTTAAAAACGTTTTTAAAAAACCTGTTAAAATGCTGTAGGAAAGAAGTATTCTTCTGTGGGCTCAGAATCTTGATGTGTTGGCTACCAATAGCTGCCTGGAGAGGGGAGAGCTGCAGGTGGGTGCTGCTGACAGGCTGAGAATCCTCCCTGACACTGCAGGCCCTCTTTGCACCTTCCCCTTGTGGTCACAGATGTCTTGGGTGATACGCCAGGCTGGTCACAGCCACCCTCAACTGGCCAAGGATAAATCAGTAAAGTGCTTTAAGTTGCATCACTTGCACTTGGTCCCGCAACTGCATCCTGCAGCGACCTCCTTAGGGCTGGAGGGATGGGTTCAGCAGGAGAGCACTTGTGGTGTTGAGAGAGAACCTGAAGATCCCACCGCTCATCCCACCAGCCCTGGGCTCTGCTGCTTTACAGCTCCATGTACATCCCCTATGGATCTGAGCAAGGCCCTTGCCAGTGGCTAGAAGAAAAAACTGATCCGAGAGGCCACCGTTTTGCAGCCTGTTGATGAGAATATTTTCTCCTCTTCTGGGAAGTAGGGGATGCTGTCAGCCACCTCCTGGACAACGCCTGGACGAACTTCGAGGCCTTGCTGGACAAGTTCACTGATGACACACTGCTTTACGTGGTGGCGCTTCAATGGCAGGAAGGGCACAACAAAATCAATGAGGTGGTTATTAATGATCCCAGATTTCCAGAATCCACCTGCAAAAGGAATGGAAGAGACAGGTTTTACCTTCAGAGAGTCTCTGCAGTCCCTGGAATTCAGAGAGTCGCTGTGTGCAAAGCCAGAATACTCGGCTGAAGACAGAGCTGCACCAGCTTTGTACAAGGAGAGAGCTGAACCCATCAGTTGTCACCTCCCTTTCACCCCCAATAGACTGTTTCTCCAGGAATGGGGGGATTGAGCTTGACTTCAGAATTCAAGCTCTGCTCTCTGTGACAAGGGCAAAGCAAGGAGATCTAAGCAGGCAGTGGGGATGGGTACGTCTCGGTTTTCCAGTGAGCACGCTGTGCTGTTTGCCAGCCCCCAACTGCGAATACACCTTGTCTCCAAAGACCTTCACTAAACGTGGCAACAGGTCTGCTGGCTTGAAAGACTGGGCTATTCCTTCCCTTGGCCAGGAAACCCTGAGGGGATCACAGTTCCCTTTTCTCAAAACATTCCGATGGCTTTCTGGCTGCTTGGGAGGTGGCAGGGATGTGGGTGGCTGCCTGGAATGGGCCTGGCTCCCTCTGCCGGGCTCTGACCCTGCAGGAAAGGCTCTGCTCCATGGACTCACTCTGAGGGTTTTCAAACACGGCTTTGGAGATGGCTGGCTCTAGGTCCTGCAGGCTGATCTCCTCTCGGTCCTTGCGGGCACGCCACAGATCCAGTGTCATTTCGTTGATCTGCTCCCCACCTGCATTGCTGCACAAAAACGAGGTGCTTATTTGGTGTGTATCCGGGGAAAATGGTGTTGCAAGACAGAGGTGGCACCTGACACCCTCCAGCCTGCACCAGTGCAATCCAGGATCTCCCAGCCACCTGGTGTAAAATGAGTCCTGGAAAGGCAGCCAAATAACAGGCACAGGAGAGCTTTTTCACAGTCCCCAGGTCTATCTATTCACAATGAAATAGTCTCAGTATTTGTAGAAGCTCAAGGCTTAGAGAAGGAAAAGCAAACCCAGTGTGTGCTCTGAAGTAGGTACAATCCCTGCCCAAATGAGAAGCTGGAAGGCCCTGTGATGCCACAGAGGGGCCTCTCTTACCTTATGAAGATGAAGATGGCTTTGCGGTAGTTGGTCCCGTACACAACCCATGAGGGTCCCAGGAAGGGGATGATGACGTCGATGAGGCCTGGGTGCATCTTGTCCATCTCCTCAAAGAGAAAGGCCGACCGTCCACAGTTTGTCAAGTTCCCTTGGATCCAGCGCTTCAGGTTTTCCTAGGGAACAAAAAGAAACAACCACCAAGGCGTCGGGCAGCGAGACACCGAGGGTGGTGACGGAGGCTCGAGCTGCCCCAGAACAAAGGCTGAGGCTGAGCCCCAACGGAGCTGAAGGTGCTGGAAGCAGCTTGTTCCTGCGCAGCACCACCTACTCCGAGCAGGAACAGCCAGCGCCGGGGAGGCCTCCTTTATTCTGGGTTTTGCACAGTGCCTGTTACTGCCTTTATTAGCCCTTTGTGGATGTTTTATTACAGACTTAAAGAAGGAGGCAGCAAAGCAAAGCTGGGGATTCAAGACTCTTACAGTTGCCCACCTTCTTCTCTTTCACTGTGTATCCACGCAGCTCCCAGCTGCCAAGTGCTTTTTGCCAGCTCCTGTTCTGGTGCAAAGCCGTGTGTCAGCACTGACCCAGAACAGCTCTTTACCACGGCTGAAGTTACTTCAGTGCAGATGCCAACCCACACAAAACCACTCATGTCGCCTGGGGGCATGAATAACTCTTAATTGAAGCACTTCACCCAGCAGGGGTTTTACCTTCCCGAGAGTATTTCTTCTAAGGACACAACACAACAAATGACTTCTCCAAACACCCAGGAAGCAAACGTCCAGGTGCACGGATTCCCCACCCTGCTGAGGGTTTGGCAGCTAACCTTCTCCTTTTGATTTCTTTCCTTTCTCAGCTTTAAGAGACGGAGTGAAGAGTCTAGAGCTGCTGTTGAGGAGCCGCTTGCTGCGTGAGGAGGGGATTACAAGCCTGGCGATACCCAGGTTTTCACAGCCATCAAGCTGTTTGGAAAGCAGTGGGAGAATTTTAGTGCCTTTCATCTCAGCAAAGCGCTTTTGTTTGTACGTTCAAAGGGCTGTGTAAATATTTGAGGAATAAGAACATGCTGGTGGCAAGGGCTGCTGTGGGGAAAGGGAAAGTGATAACTGAGTGCCAGAGTGTATCTAGTCACTTGTGGATCCTTTCAGCCAGTGTGTGGAGCCACTCGCTCACCCATGTCTGTCTGAGAGGGTAAAACAAAGAGCTTCTCTTCCTACTTTACTTCAGGAAACAGCCTGAACGTGTGTGTAAGAGCACCGAGGTGGACATAACCAAAGAAACCCCCGACGGAGCAGTACTGTGCTGAGGTGTCCCTTACCTTGTACTGCTCTATCCGCTCAGCGTGGGGGAAGTGCACTATGGGGGAGAACTGGTGAACGTAGGGGCTCTGCAGCCCACCCTGGAAGAGGTAGCGGACCAGCATGGAGCTCACGAAGGTTTTGCCCGTTCCCGTTGAGCCGTGGAAGGACATCACGAGGGGTTTCACCGGATTCCGGTTCTCCAGGAACTCCTTCACCCCCTTCATCACCTGCTGCCTCACCAGGGGTTGCCCCACCAGGTTCAGGGCCAAGTCACACTCCAGACCTGGACCAAAGTCAAAGGGAGATTTTACCAACGCAGGCTGAAAGGGCTCATCTCACGCTGTGGTTGCCCCATCTCCAAGGGCTGCTTCCCCGGGCCCTCTGTCAGGCGGTCCTGCCCCTCCACGGGGTGGGGAGGCAAGAGCCCCCTCCTCGCCCCGCTCTCCTGGAGACACCCTGGCTCTCGGGACCCCCTTGCCTGCCACCCCCCTGGCCTCAGGGATGCCCGGCTCCTCGCCTCTTGGGCCCTGCCGCCTCCCCACGGCCCCTCACCTCAGGGCCCTCCCCAGCCCGGCCCCCTCCCCCCGCGGCCCGACGCCCCCGCTGACCGCGTAGATCGGGCCGGAAGCCGCACTCGCAGTCCGCCGAGAAGCCGCAGCGAAGTGCCCACAGGTCCCAGGCGGCGGCGGCGGGGCGGGCGGCGGCCGCCAGCAGCAGCGACAGGGCCAGCGCCGCCGCCGCCGCTTCGGGAGCCATGGCGGCCGCCTGCTCCTCCGCCGCCGCCCGCACTACAACTCCCGGCACACCCCGCGCGGGGGCGGGGCTACGAGGGAGGGGGCGTGATCAGAGACGGCGGGGAGGGAGGAGCGACGGGGAGTGGGGCGTGGTCAGAGGGCGAGGGGCGGGGATACATGGGAAGGAGGCGTGGTCATGGGGTGCGAGGGGCGGGGCCTGCCTCCCGCCGGTCCGGGGCGGCGGCGGGTGCTTTGGGGTCCCCGCTGTCCCCCCTGCAGAGGTTTGGGGGCACAGGGTAACCACACGGAGCCACCGCGGAGGTCCAGGGTGGTTCCACTCACCGGCCCTTCCCAGGGTGCTCCTCTCGGGGGGGTGGGTGGATGGGTGGGTGCAGGGACTCCTTTAAATGACAGCCAGGGGAGAGGGGATCCCCTCGAGGAACGGCATAAAAGTTTATTGTATGTAAGAACCAAACCCATGGGATATGTACACGTATTTACAAGACGAAACGAATGAGCCCTAATTATTTACAACAAGAACGACTGTCCTGCACGAGTCTGTACACCGAGAAGTGATTGTGGAAACGTTATTTACAAGCGGGACCCCGGGGGCCGTGGGCGAGACAGAGATGGGGAAGGAACGAAACCGAAGGGCGAGGTGAGGGTCACCGTGTAGTCACGGACCTTGGCAGGGCTGGATGGGGGACGCTGGCACTGCCCTCCCCAGACACTGTCCCTGTCCCTCGGGGCAGCAGCGTGGACCCCTTGGCCTGTTGTGTCCCGAGGAGGTGCACGGTAGATGGGAGGTGGCTGTTTTTCCTCCTCTTTGTCCCAAAATTGCTGTTCCTTGCCCTAGTGCCTTTCTGAGCCATCTCTCCTCCTGGTGCTGGGTGCCTGGCCCCATCCCTTGCCCTACAGCCACCAAGGGGGGTCAGGCTGGGAGCTGGGGGGGGTCTCCCAGCACCCTGGGGGGTGTGTGTTACAGCTCGCTGAAGCGCACCGCTGGCTCCAGCTTGTGGGACAGGGCAGTGAGGACCTTGTCGAACTTCTCGTAGCGCTCGGCCTGGCTGCTCTCGGCCCCACGGCTGCCCCAGAGCAGCCGCAGCTGGAACTCGGTGCTGAAGATCTCCAGGAGCTCTGCTCTGGCCTGGAAACCTGCAGGGAGAGAGAGTCAGTTCTCTGGGATGGGGTGGGGGAACCCTGCTCCCCTGGGATGCTCCAGCTGGTGCTGGGCTGGAGCTCCACACCGGGAAGGCAGCAGAGGGAAAGGGGCTCTGCTGGCCCTGTCGCTTACCCTGCAGCTTCACTTCAGCGTTGGTGTGGTAGAGCCCGCCGTGGTGGGCCACCATCCGTGCCGCCTCCAGGTGGGCCATGACCACCTCCACGCCGTTGTCGGTGGTCTCCCAGGGCTCGGGGTTGTCCGTGAGAGCCTCGTCCCGCTCCAGGAGGGTCACGAGGGGCATGACGTGGGGAAAGGTGGTGTTGGTCAGCGGCGGTCCTTCTGTGGAGAGAAGCACCCTGAGGACCCTGTGTGGCCTCGTGTCCTCCTCCCCCATCTGCCCCAGCTCCGCAGAGCGCTCCTGTGGCCACACAGCCCCACAAAGCCAGGCTGCCCCCGCGCTCCCAGGAGAGGGTTTAAGGCTCAGCTGTAGCACAGCAGCATCTGTGGCTCTGTGATTGCTGTGCCCGGGGCCATCGCCTCCTTCAACACCAGCTCCTCCCAGATGGGCTCTCTGGTTGTGCTGGGAGGGGAACGCTGCTGTCCCTGCTCGGGCTGTGTCTGTGTTTCCCGGGGCTGTGATGTTTGCAGGGTGTTGGACACACATGGCTTTTCATCTTCCTGGACTCGCCGCCCTGTCCCCTCAGCTTGGCACGCACTGCCATAGGCGAGTGCGAGGGTTTGGCTTGGCCGAGTTGTGTCTGTGCCCAGCTGCTGGTTTTATTTAGTTATGAAATGCTTCCTCGGGAAGGAAGGGGCAGCCGAGGCCAAACGGGCCCTGCCGGGTGCCGGGGCGGTTCAGCAGCCAGAGGGGAAGTGTCTGGCACTGCTTCCCACTGGGAGAGGGTCAGAGCTCTCAAACACAACCCCCCTCCAGCCAGGCTGTGCCCAGACAAAGCGGGAAGGAGCAAGCAGGCGAGAGAAGGGGAGTTGTTCCCGTTACCTTTCCCTTCGTTCAGGCTCTTCAGGAAGGGCTTGAGCTTCTTCTCGTAGAGGATGGCACCCTCCGTGTGCCGCTGCCGCAGCACCATCCAGGTCTGCTCCAGCCGGGCGATCTGAAAGCAGATGGGACAGATGGAGGGTGCTGGGGGCAGCACAGCCCCTGGGCACCGAGCTCACAAGGTGGTCCCAGGAAGGCACAGCCTGGCCCTGGAGCCCTGGCCCCCCACCCTGCACACAGCAGTGTCTGCTGGTGCCCAAACCAGCCTCCTCCACCAGCGCTCGTGGCCAGAGAGAGCACATCCCTGGCACCGAGGCTGGGTTCAGGATTTCTCCCCCCTCCCTGTGCCCCAGGACAGCAGCTTCCCTGCGTCGCAGCGTCCTTGAAGATGAGACACAAGGAGGGGGCAGCCGTTCAGCCTCCTTTGTGCAGGCAGGAAGCAAGACTTCCCAGCTGGGCTCGATTTAAAATTGAATTTTAATCTCCTTTCATCTTCCAAAGGGAGCAGTGTGGCCCGGAGACGCTGCTGCCACAGCCTTGAGACTGATTTGTATTGTACCGGAGGGCAGATTCATTTCCTCCCAGGAACACAGCCCAGCACAAAACAAAAAGCCCAACCACCGAAAAACAATCAGATCCCGGCAGGACTGGGCTGTCTGCTCTGCAGAGGGGACGGCTCTTCCCCTTCCCTGCTTACATCCCAGCGGATGTAGCCCCATGCCTTCTACCCTGGACATTTTCCCCCCACCTCTCCCACCCCAACGTGTGTCGGAGGCCGCAGGACACAGGGAAAGGGATGTGTTTTGGGTGAGGGGGCTGAGTGTCCACACCACGAGGACGAAGGGAGCGTCCCCGTACCTGTGTCATTTCCAGGGCGTTCATCACAGCTGCAAAACTGAACATGTTCCCCATGGTGCTCTTCAGCTCGGCAGCCAGCTGGATGGTTTTGTGGAGCAGGGCCGCCCGCTCCTCCGTGCTGCCCGTGCAGCCCAGGATGTCCACAGCGATCATGATGGACATGGTGTGGAACCTGCCGTGGGGCAAGACACAGAGCGGGGTCAGCCCGGGGAGGTGGGGATGTTCCTGGGGCTCCTCCACCCCGGGAGGTGCATTGCACCCCCCTGTGCCAAGCTGGGGACCCCCCAGGGGAGCTGGGCTGTGTGGGGCAGCCCGGTGGGCTCGCCTCGGCCGGGGGATGCCGTACCGTTCCAGCAGGTCGAGGCGGAGCTGGTGGCCGTGGGGCAGGGTGAGCAGCTCCATGCCAGAGCTCACCCCCATGAGCCGCTGCATCTCCACCGTCACACCCAATATCCGGGCAACCTGGCAAGAAAGGCGAGAGCTGATTAAACCTTTGTTAATTGAGGAGAGGCTGAAGCATCCTTGGGCAGCCTCTTGCCCCAGCCCAGCCTCTGCTTGCCCAGGCTGATACATCATGGGGTGTCCCAATACTTGGGGGTGCTCTGATCCCCTGCCAACCCAGGGCGATGGGAGGGCAGCGGTGCCTGTCCCCAGCCGTACCAGACAGTCCACTTTGGTGATGTGTTTGGCCAGTGTCTTCACGTCCACCTCTGCCAGCAGCTCTTTGACCTTCTTGAGCACAGCCATCTCCAGGGGTTTGTTCTCCAGGGGAATAAGCAAGGACTGGAAGGCCACGGGATTGAAGGAGGAGGTTGTCTCCATGGTGGGGGGCACAAAGCCCCTGAAGTCCAGCTCTCCTTTCAGCCTCTGCCCTGCCTCTGCTTCCCCGGAGCCATTCTCTACAGTCCCTCTTTGCCCTTCCTCCACCTTTAGCCTCTCCACGTAGCTCTTTGTTGGCAGTTGCTTGGTGTCATGAGCTGGCCGGTCTCTGCTGATGGGTGAGGTGGGGTGGAGCTGGCAGTAATGCCCCGTGTCCGGGTCGCTGTAGCTGTTCACGGAGGGAGAGGGGGAGGCGCGGGCGTACCCGTGGCAGGGAGTCGAGTGGGTGCTGTGGGCAGGGTCTGGCAGAGGTTTGCTGTTGTTCCCCGGGCACAGCTGGGGCTCGCTGGACCTTCTTATGACCGGAGAGGCCGGGGCAATCCCGGTTGCTTGGCAGGCGTGTGGCTTTAGCCGTGTAACTGTAGGGAGCAGAGGAGATGCTGTTATCAGAGCCTGGAGACAGACACACGCACAGGGGCCACAGATATAGCAGCCCAGGGGACGTGGAGCTCAGGGAAAGCTCTGCTGCCCCAACGGACTCAGCCATCCCAGGACAGCTGCACAACAACACGTCTGAGGACAGGCTGAGGTCCCATCCTCAGCTCAAGCCCTCCATCAGGACAGTTTTCTTTGCTGTCCAAAGACCTGGATGGGGTTTCTCCAGCAAGGAGTGACACAGGGGCTTGTCTTACAGCTGGCTCTGTCCCCCTCCCCAGGTCCCTGTGTCACACCCGTGCCAAGCCCAGCCTGATCCACGTCCCCAGTGGGATGGAGGGGTGATGCCTACCCGTGCTATAGGCGGGCGACGCAGGGTTCTCGGAGATGGGGGACATCGGGGAGTGCAGGTCCTGGATCTGGTCCACGCTGACGGCACAGTTGCGAATGATGTCTCTGTGATGGGGCAGGGATACACTGGGGAGGGGGGGAAGATGGGTCAAGTTAGTCCCTGCAAACAGGGCCCCGGGTAAGGGCAGAGGGGCTGGGATGAGGGTTTGCTGCCCCATCACCTCCCCTCGAGTCATCACCTCCTTCCACAATTACCCATAACGAGCTGAGCCCATAACAAGCTCAGCTGGAGCAATGAGCAGGCACTCCCTGCAGGCAGCTGGGAGCAGAAGGGGTCAGTACCTATATAAAGCAGAGACAGCCCTCCCTCCAGGGAGTTTGGTCATATGGAGCAGGGGAGAGGGATGCCCTGATGCCAAGGTATG